AGGGACGCAGAGCGGCAGCGGCAGCATGTCGGCCGGCGGAGCGCCAGTCCCGCCGCCCCCGAACCCCGCCGTGTCCTTCCCGGCGCCCCGGATCACCCTGCCCGCCGGCCCGGACATCCTGCGGACCTACTCGGGTGCCTTCGTCTGCCTGGAGATTGTAAGTGGGGCAACCTCGGCGCGTCGCCCGGGGAGCGAGGACCGGCAGCGGCATCCTTGCTTCCCGGGGCTGGCTCCCTCTGCCCGCGCCCCAGCTCCCTTACATTCGACGTGGCCTTTACCTGCGCCCCTCCCGGGGTCCTGCCCTCTCCATGCCCAGAGCAGCCCGAATCTGGGCCCTCTCGCCTGGCACCTGTTACGCTGGCACCTGCTCTCCCGCTGGCGACAGAAATGGCCCCGAGGGAGCGAGCAGACGGCCCAGCGCCGGGGCCCAGGATTGGGGTCTTTGAGAGGGGAAGGGTGCTTGGGCTTGGGGCGCCGCGGAAGACCCCCGGTGGCTTGGCCAGGGGCCGCGCTTGGCTAGGGCCAGAGTAGGCTCTCTGGGCCTCGCCTGTTGCTAACCTGCCATTTTGTTGGGTGGTGCAAAGGTGTAGCCGATGACTGAGTGACCTGAAGGCTGCCACGACGTGAAAAGCCGGAGGCGGGAGGTGCCAGGAAGAGAAGGCGGGCTTAAGACCTGAGCCTACCCACCCCCTTCCCTTTCCATTGTTAGTGCCCTTTGGATTGGGGAGAGGAGCAGAGCTCTGGAGGCTGGGCAGGGAAAAAGGTCAAGTGAACCGTGCCCTTGGCAGTTTCTAATAAAGTGGGCCTGAGAGTGGCTGGGGCGTTGGTGGGGGAGGTACAGAGGTGACTGTCAAGTTCCTCGCTGCCTGCCTTTGCGCCTACTGGCTTCCTAGCCGACCTGTGCAAGTCGACACTTCTCAGCCCACTTTGTTGGGCCTAGGTGAAGGTGAGGTCACCTGCCCTGCCGTGCACCTTATCGGGCTAGAGATTTTTTAAACCTTTTTAAAGCTATTTTGTGGAGTTGGAAGCTTTTGGAGCTCTTTGTGGACCAGGGGGAATGTGCAAACATAAATTGGGCAACCCCAGGTTGCATCATGCCCTGAGAACGGCAGATCCAGAGTGCAGTGCTAGCCAGTCCCTGCCCTTCCTGTAGGCTGATGTTGTTTGTTCCCTATGGAGTTTTCATCTCTCTTTTCTCACCTCCTCTGAGTTTGCATAACCTGGATTTGGTCGCTTGGGTTTCGCTTTTGTGCCTGTGGGGCCGGAACGCCTTGTGAGCATTGGTTTTGTGCCCTATTGTGTGAAGGTGGCTAAGGCGTGCTAAGTTAAGTTTAGCTCAGATTTGAATCTGCAAAAGGAGACAAGTGAGTTACAGGCTACGACATCAGTAATCGGATCGTGACTGTGAGGCTGGAAGAGGCTGGTTTTGAGTCTGAGCCCAGTTCAGAAGCATCTGAATGCTTGGGATGAGGCGCGGGCATCCATGTGAGGAGAGTAGAGAGGGGATGGCACTGGGCCCGGGCACCGTTGTGTGTGTGTGTGTGTAGGAGGGGGAGACACTCTTAGAACGGTAGAAAGCTTGTATAAGTTCTGGGCTGCTTTAGTCCCATGTTCCTCAAACTCTACTCATTTGCATATCGCTTTTAGGAGTTTTGGCCATATCTGCATTCCACCTGTTCTAGGATTTACAGAATGTTCACTTCGATTCACTTTCTAAACTTCAGTACCTACTTTAGCCTCATCCTAAGCAACAATATACATGAATTCTCGAATTTGATATACTGGGTATATTTTTTTAATATTTACTCAAATATATACTTTCGCGTTTGCATACATGTATGCATACATGTAAAGATATGTAAGGATACATGTATGTATATAGGGACCTGTATACATATATACGCAAAGAAGGCTCAAACACGTGCCATCACATCAAATACTGTGCCAAGGGCCATCTGTGGTCTTGTCATACTTTTGGAAACACTGCCTAATTCTGTGGGAAAAAAGTGGATGTGATTTATTTTCTCTCCCCTGCCCCCATATCTCTTTATCTAGCCCAGGAGTTAGTTCTCAACTCTGCTGTACTTAATTACTTGGGCAGCTTTTAAAAATACGGTGGCTGGCCCAGACTAATTAAGTAAGAATCTCTGGGGGAGCGCCCTGAGTCGGCTAGGTTCTTCTAAAAGCTCCCCAGAGGGTCTAGTGAACACATGGCTGGGAACCCCTGAGGGCGGCCTTTACCAGGGCTCTGTGGACAAGACAGCCCTCATGCAAAGCCAGAGCTTCTACCCCTCCCCATTCTAATAGGGACCCAGGCCCAAAGAAGTATCCAGACTGTTCCCCTTATCTCTTCAAGTTTTCTTGTTGCTTTAAAGTGTTCAGTCTCCCATGGCTCCTCCTCAGAAATTCCTCTGCCTGTGAATGAAATGTGACAGTTTGCTAGGAGCAGTTCTAAACTCCAGGTAATCTCCTTTCTGGGGGCCTCTTCCAATGTTTCTGGATATCCCCAAACTCCTTCTCAATTTTGGCCTTCTGTTCAAATGCATTTGTCTTGGTGAGTTTTCTTGTTGCGTCTTGTTGCCATCTAAAGCTTGATGTGGGAAAACAGCAATTGACAAGTGGGCTGGGCTATCAGCAGCTGACTAAACTAATGAAACCGTGATCTTGGAGTTCACTTCTCACACTAACTGGAAACTTTGCTCAGAAAATTCAGTGTCACAGATGGTGCCTATACTTACTGTGGTGAGTACTCAGTAATGTATAGAATTGTCAAGTCACTGTGTTATACACTGAAACTAATAGAACGCTGTGTGTCAACCGTACTTCAATAATAAATTTTCTCAAATTTTACATTAAGAATTCATTTTCATTCCCTCTTATTATATCCATGCATAATCTCTCAAGTGTAAGCCGTTTATTGAGAGATAATTCAAAAGATGCAAACAGTGCCTGCCTAATGGCACCAGGTAAGGCAATTTATAGCACTGGCTTCATAGGTGGAGAATATTGCAACACATAGACGTGGCATGGTTTTTTGAGACAAATGTGGTCCACTCCCAGATATTTAGGTTGTCAGCTCCTATGTTTTTGCCCTGAGCTATACTTACCAATGCATGCTTGCCTTGAAGAGTGTAATACTAAGTTATTTTTGCAATGCTAAGTCTTTTAGTTTAGGATGGAAAACATCACCTTCAAAGTTACATTTTCAAATTCTCTCAGTGTTTCCTGGTTTAGTGTTTTCTAAGTCTTTTGTCAGGTACTGATTGAATACCTACTGAGTGCAAGACACTCGTCTGGGGGGAAAAAAATGGTAGACCCTTCCTCACCTGAAAAAACATCTAACCTAGTTGAGATGATCTGCATAAAAATAACTGCCATTCAGGGACGAGGTAAATATGGAGAGTGAGCTACAGCTAAAGTGTTTTCCAGGCAGGTCTGTTTATAAGAAAATGAACGTCAGAGCATCTGTCCTATGGGGCCGAACAAGATACTTGAGGTCCCTGTCCTCAGTGAGCTTACCTTGTATAATCCGCAAGGTAGATCAGATGTTACAGTTAAACATGGAAAAGAAGAAAGGTCAATATGTTGAATTCAGTGCATTGCATGGTTTCGGTGTTTGGGAAACTATCCACATTCCCCAAGATATTCACTAGCGTTTTTCTTTATGGGAGATATTCTAGGACTCCTATTCACATGCTCTGACCTGCAGTGGTGTGGATGTCCCAATAACTTTCACTCATCCAACAAATAATTAAGAATCTGCTATGCATCAGGCCTTATTTTATGCCCTGGGAATAGGATAATTAACATAGCTCCTGCCCTTAAATTCGTGTATAGTGAAGTATACAGTCAAGAAAGAATTCCAGTGTCTGAAGTGATAAAATTGGTCATGAAAAGTACTATTGAAAAACGGGGTAAAGCACATCTGGCCACTGGGGAGTCTGAGCCAGGCAGCTCGCATGAGATGGTGACACAGGAGTTTAGTCTTAAGTGATGAGTAGACATTCAGTAGACAAGAAAAGTGGGAAAGAGAATTCCAGGTAGAAACAAGGGCATGTGTAAACGCTAGAGACAAGACAGACCATGGCACGAAGGTTCCAGCAACTGTTTTTGTTTTTGTTTTCGTTTTTTATTTTTTCTAATTTTTTTTTAATGTTTATTTTTGAGAGAGAGACAGCAAGGGAGCAGCAGAGAGAAAGAGAAGGAGACACAGAATCTGAGGCAGCCTCCAGGCTCTGAGCTGTCAGCACAGAACCCAATGCGGGGCTCGAACCCATGAATCACGAGATCATGACCTGAGCCAAAGTCAGAGTCGGATGCCCAACCGACTGAGCCACCTGGTGCCTCTGGTTTTTTATTTTTTTTACATGACTCATGGGAAGGTGGCAGAAGAAGGAGAAAGAGCAGAAAAGGCCCGAGTTGTGATTTGCTGAGAACTGACTGGACCAGGCATCACATGGGGGAGCTGCTGAAGTCCAGGGGCAAATGTGATCGTACTTGTGTTTTAGAAATCTTTGAGTACGGGCACCTGTGTGGCTTGGTCCAGTCAAACGTCCGACTTCAGCTCAGATCATGATCTCGTGGTCCTTGAGTTTGAGCCCTGCATGGGGCTGTCTGTCATCAGCACAAAGCCAGCTTCAGATCCTCTGTTCCCCTTTCTCTCTGCCCCTCCCCCACTCATTCCCCACCCCATCTCAAAAATAAACAAACATTCAAAAAAATCTTTAAGCGGTGAAGTTTGCTGATAAAACAGAGGCTGAAGGCAGATCAATTAAGGGACTTATGTCAGTGGTTTGAATGAGGGATAATGACAATGACAAATGACAGAAGTACAGAAGAAGAGAGATCTGACCTTTAGAAGGTCAACCAAGTATGTAAAGTTTGACATGTTCTGAAGTGAAACTACGGTAAACTTAAATATAAGATGTAACTCAGAGGAATTACAGCAGGAGCACAAAAGTTAGAGGATGGTGGGAGGGTAGGGGCTCTGGAGCGGGCGTGCACAGAGAAACCTGTGGAAGAGATTTCAGGTTATTGTCAACCCGAAGTTTTGACATTATACTAACATATAAACAGTCAGATGTGTAGGGTTGTCTTTTCTCGCCCAGAAAATAGATTTGAGTTGCACAGGGACATTGTGTGTTTGCAGCGGTGAAG